CTTTTCGCTGTAGATGTTGGTTCGGATTACAGATTTTAGTATGGCTATTTAAATAAAATATTTTTTGAGGATGATAATGATATAAAATCAATTTGTATTAAAAAATTTTAAATCTTAGGAACCTAATTTATTGATCATTGATGATTACAGTTCATTTTCGCTTATTTACACAGGCTTAAATATGCAACCAGCATCCGGGATGAGTTGTTTAAATATGGTCATGGAAGGCACGCAGGTCAGTGAATTTTTACTGTAGAACTGCACTTGTCATCCCCAGAACCGTTCCTGGGGGACAGCCTATGAAATCTTGAGAATGACATCTACGGCCATGCTACCCTGAATGCACCGATCTTGTGTGGTCTCGGAAGCTGAGCAGGGTTGGGCCTGGTTAGTACTTGGATGGGAGAATGAACCTTGTTTTGGACATGACTGAAGCTTCGGATGGCAGAGCTGCTAATCTACCTTTGGCATCAATTCAGTCATGAAGAAAATCATGAAGAAGGAATATGTATTTATTTCTTCATTTCCCTGTTTTAAAATGCAAACCTTTGCTTATCTCTGATATGTTTCAATCTCCTTAGGAGTTCTCCAAAGGTAGATCCTTTAGTCACCAAAAAACCTTCTGTTAAATGCAAAAAAGAAGGTTCCCGTATGTCTCCCTATAACTGATGGGCTTGTCAGTCTCCCCTAACATGCTGGGGGTGGGGAAAATATTGTATTGTGGCCACTGGGATGATTTTGGTGGGGCCCTCTATGTCCCAGGGTCAGTGGGCCCCACTGACATTTCCTGCTGACTGCATATTGTGTGCATGGGGCCACCTTGTGTGGTCAGTCCAGTGAGGGCTGCCATTGGCATCCCATTGTGATGCTGAACTGGTAGAAAGCAAAACTAATATAGTGTTCTTGTTTTTATTGCTGTGGCTTTAAATGTAACTAGGGCTTAGATATGGTTAGAAACACTCAAAGATTTCTATGCCTGGTCCATCCCCTAACATCCTGTCCTCACATAGGACACACACCAGCCTGACTGAAAGAACCCCCGTCTGCTGACCTGCCAGATTCACCACAAAGGGAAATCGCTGAGAAGAGACAGAATATTCCAGACCACTTTAGGCTGGAGAAGATCAGAAACCACTAAAAAAATGTTGTAGATGAGTATTTAATAACATGAAAATATTTAAGTCAAACAACAGGATAAATGGAATGATTAAAGTTTTGTTAATAGGTTTGTAGAAAAAAATTGAGGACATACTGGCTGGGCGTGGTGGCTCACACCTGTAATCCTAGCACTCTGGGAGGCCGAAGCAGGAGGATGGCTTGAGCCCAGGAGTTTGAGTTTGCTATGAGCTACAATGATGTCACTGCACTCTAGCCTGGGCAACAGAGTGAGACTGTCTGCAAAAAAAAAAAACAAAAAAAACCCGCATCTTGCTAA